CCTCCTTTATGACATCCACCGGACTATATGAATATCTCATGATGCTCTACAGTTTAGCTAATAGCCTTATCCTGCTTCTGAAGGATCTGTTCTGAAGGATCTGTTCTGATCTGTTTGGCACCCATCCTGAAGCAGCCTGACCCAGATCTCCATTTCGTTGTGGAAGTGGACACTTCAGAGGTAGGGGTCAAGGCTGTTCTTTCCCAATGCCAGAAGGGAAGCGGGGTGTTGCACCTATGTGCTTTCTTTTCAAGGAAAAGAAGGAAAATGGAATACAACTACGATACTGGTAATCAGGAGTTGCTGGCCATCTGATTAGCCTTAGAAGAATGGAACCACTGATTTGAGGGGGGGGCTCACATCCCACTGAAATTCTGACAGACCACCGTAACTTATATAATCTGAGGTCTGCCAAGCGACTGAAACCTTGACAAGCCAGATGGGCCCTCTTTTTCACACATTTTGATTTCAAGGTGTCCTATGTGCCTGAGGCGAAGAAAATTATGATTGACGCTCTCTCTCACCAATTTGCCCCACCAACAGATAAAGTGGATCCTGATCCGATCCTGTCCCCTTCATGCTTCCTGCATCTGGTAACATGGGACCTCAACAACGCAATACAGAAGGCCCAGCATGATGAACCTTCCCCAGCCCACTGTCCCACCAGTAAGATCTATGTGCCCTCTGCACTTCCTCTCATTGTCATCCAGTGGGTCCACACCTCACCTGCCTTTTGGTGGCCCAGCAGGGGGGAGTCGGTAGAGTAGTTCATACTGTCTTGTCCATTGTGTGCCCAACATAAGCCTGATACAAGAAAGCCTGCAGGTCTCCTTCAAACACTCCCGACCCCTGACCAACTAACCCTGGTCCCATCTGGCGCTCAATTTTATTACAGACTTACTGTGTTCCCAAGGCAACTCCATCATCTTAATGATTGTAGCTAAGTTTTCTAAAATGTGCCAACTAATGCCTCTTCCCAAGTTTGCTGACATCATCCTCACATGGCTCTTATGGTACTATGACTTTCCAGAGGACATTATATCCAATCGAGGTCCCAAATTCTCAGCTAGTCTTCTGGGCTTTCTGTTGACTCAACATCTCCCTGAGCTTCTCCGCCAGTCATCAACCGCAAACCAAGAGGGTGACAGAGGGAACAAAACAGGAAGTTACAAAGCTCCTCCATCTGATGTGCGCTGATGTCCTAGTCCACTGGGATCATTCACCACCCATGGGTAGAGTACTGAACTCTCATCCACGAGATGATGTGGATATTTTCCCGTTCCAGTGTGTCCTGGGATATCAGCCCGGCATTGGAGGACTGGTACTGCATTAGTACCAGCATATTCAACACACACTCTGTTCAATTCCCTGCAACAACAGGGGAAATTGCAGTACCTGGTAGACTAGAAAGGGTATAGCCCAGAGGAACAGACCTGGGTCCTGGTGGCTGACATCCTGAAACCCGGCCATGGTGGCCAGCTCGCTTTACCCAAGACCACCCACGCCGCCCTTTTCGGTCTGCAGGAGGTGGCCTTCGGGGGGGGGGGAGTGTTTCTCTCACACCTCTCCCTCATGAGCTTTCAATAAATAACCCAGATATGATCCAACCTACCCTGTGTGTCCCCAATTCCCGCTCCTTGTCAACTCCAGTCCCGAGTCCTCATCTCTGTAGGATTGACCCTTCTGGCTTCCAGACCAATCTGCTCTGCAACCGTGACTGTATTTTGCCTTCCAATTCTGATCCTGTCTAAATAAAGCCCGGCTTTCTCTGCCATCCGCGTCTACCAGAGTATCTCTATTCCATAGTTACCTAATAAAGCTAAAATTACAACAAGTCTTTATAGTTTTCTATACCAGAAACAAGTTTGACATACTACCCATAGTAACAGAAGAGAATGTGGTCTGACACATGCCATGATTGAATGCAGGCACTGGTCATCCTCTTAACCTTCAGTTTTTGCAGCAACACGACCAGTTGCAGCAGTTGATATGTACTGTGTCAAAAGCTTCAAAAAATAGCTTCCCCAATATAAAAGGGACAAATGGGTAGAACATATGTTTTGCCAAATGCTTTGTCATGTGCCTATGCTACACAGGTGGCAGTTTTGCCTTGGGTGAGGATTATAACAAGAATACAAGCATTTGTCAGCTGTTTGATGTAGATCAGCAGGTTAATAAATTAACTGGTCGTGCTTGCTGATGGCCTCAAGATGGAAGCTTCAGATAGAGTCCCAGCGGAAGCTCTAAGCTATAGTTCAATGAAATATGTTCCAGACATCAGTAAAAAATATAGTTAACCATTTTTCCCCAAAGAAATTACATCTGCATACGTTTAGATTTTCAGTATTTTTTATGTGTCCAACTATGCACTGTAGTTTTAACATAACTTCTAACCAGAATGTAACAGATATACACATACTGCAACGGCAATGAAATTTTTATATCTTGTTTAACTAGATCCTGATTGCAAATAATGTGCAACATAAATTATTTCAGAGGAATTAGGAGCAATATAGCCTCTAATTAGACCATTTAATCCAAATTTGCAGGTGTATTTACTTAAACACCCCCTCTGTTTAAGGAATGTCTCCCTCTCCTCTAGTTATGTAACAACACCATCAGAGAACACGTTTGAGTGGTCTCCACAAAACATCTTATCTAGCATCCAATTAAGCAAGTGCCTGAAGTATTCAATGCGAAACAACAACCTTAAGCTGCTCATGTAACATTTGTGTATTACAGGATACAGCAGCATAATTAGAGTCATGGCTCAGGTCAGTGCTCGGTCTGTTTAGGGGTTAATGAGCCCTTTCAGTCTCCGCTGGAGAGATGGTGAAGGATAGGGGGCTGGTTCTGTTTGGCTTCAAGAGAGAATCACCCATAGGGGGTTCCTTTGAACTGTCAAAAGATCCCCTTGTTCTGGGTAGCTCATATTTCATTTGTCTGAGTGGTAAATAAAAAATACATGAGTGGCCAGCACTCTCCCCCATGACATTATTCACAGATTATCTGAAACCACCAGCATTCCTCTCCTCTCTTCTAATAGCCACACTCATACAGATTTGGGGAAACATGTTATTGTTGTAATTTTGACAAATAGTCCCATTGTGATGACTCACTTGAGATGAAACAAACGAAAAAAATAGATACGATCTCTCTTCAAAGGATACTGATGAGACATTTATTTCTGTATCAGAGTATTATTCTGATATTTTCCCATGAGTGATCTTGTAGTTCATCAGTTTTGTCTGGTTTTAGGGACTGGAAACATGTTACTCAACATTCTGTGTCACTGAACTGTGAGGTCATCATCCTGTTTGACACCAAGCTGCAATATGAACCCTCTTCTGACACAACTGTAGGTCAACTTACTGTGCTTCTGTGAATGTTTCTGTGCTTGACTTGGAGTCGCAGGATGGATCATAGTAGCCAACATTGCTGATAGAAAAACCCTTTTGATTTTTTGTGGTAATACATTTTTATGGCAGGTAACATTTACATTTTCTTACAAGTAACATTTTCTTACTAAAAATCATTTTTTTTGAGCTAGGTGTTTGTCTAAATTGTCTAAATTTCTCATGCATTTTCATTGGTGATTTTGCTTTTTCAAGTGTCTTTCTTATTTTGGTTTGAATGGGGTGTATCTTTAACTGCAAATCAGCTCACAACACAACAGAAATGAGCCACAACACAACGGAAGTTTCTGGGAAACAATGATCGATATATTTTCGAATAGAGATATAGAATGACGACCAAAGTGCAATCATGCACTAAATTTAGCGCTCTATTAAACATTTTGACCAAGAGAGCTGCAGTCATAACATTGCATAGGATCCCAGTATTCACAGCTAAAAATCAAACAATTTAGTTAGTGTTGGTAATTCTATGGAGGGGGAAGGTGATTAATCATTGTTACTTGTGTGACCGGTAGTATGTTGAGAGGAGTTGATTCTCCCTTGTTGGGTATGTAAATTTGGATCAGGGGGGCGTGATCTTTGACCGGTGTAGCTCTTCAGTTTAATTAAAAGACTTTCCTGGACCTTTGCCTATTAAACACACGGGTTTCCGGTTAGTGTTTTGTGCGCTGCCGGAAGGGTGACGGTTAGACCGGTGTAGGCAAGTGTCTGGTGTCAATTTGGGCCAACGTAAGCGGAGGTATTTGCGAGGCTTGTGGGCGAAAGGTAGGAGATGAATAATGTTGGGTGTCGCTATCGTAAAGCAGCCTATTAATTCCTGCATGTTTTGTAGGTACCGAGTACGGGCGGTTGGAGTGGTGTGTGGAGAGAGTGAATCTGGTCTCCAGATTGGGCTGTGCTGCCCTGCCGCTGTACCTCACGGCTTTACCCTGCTGCTCGACTGATGCCCTGCTCTGCTGTGTGGCTGCTGTCCTGTTCTGCTGTGTAGCTGCTGCTTGGTGGCCATTTGGTCTTGTTTCTCTGTTACGTTTTGCCTGGTTGCTTCGCTCTTACCGTCTTGCTATTGTTCCGCCTGTTTTGTCTTGCTGCTTATTAAGTATTACGGCAAGATATAAGTGCAAGATCTTTATTGAAGGTCACGGAGGATGTCATGCACTACATACATACTGGTAGGTAGAACTATACCGACCGACTCTCAGTGAGTATGTATAAAACAGATCACGTGTACATCAACCAATCAACATAAGTTTCTAGCAAACGTGGACACACCATTTGAATAATCAATTATGTGTCTAACATATTATGCAATATATTCTGCACGAATATTACATCCACCTTGTTTTAATTTTTTTTTGTTAAGCTTTTACATGTGGATAACTGAAGGGTCACAAACATAACAATAACAACAATACCACTATGATGGAATATCTGCAGCCTTGTTTCCACATTACCGACAGGGCATGAACAAAAGAACAAATATCAGCACCATACAGTCAACGTGCCATTTTTTTTTTTTTTTTTTTTGTTGTGAACATATATGTAGCATGTTAAGGGCAGCGATCCACCTGCACCCTGTTACAGCAGTTACAAGTCCAAAATTGTTCTTCGCTTGACTTCACGTCCAAACCTTGTCCGGTAAGGGACAGTAGAAGTGATTGCCTCACTGGCTGCAAACGAGGCTGGTTGTGTGATGCGGTGTTGGGCCTGCTGCCCGTAGTGATCAAAACTCTCTTCGGCAGTATGTGCGTCCTTAGTGTGAAGGAGGTGTCGTCTGTTTCGCCTATACACTTGTCCTCCATCAGTCGCACGTATGTGATATGACCTTTCAGTATCAGCTTGCCTGATGACTACAGCTGGTTTCCAGTAACCTTGCTCCTGGAATCGGATGTATTGTCCATCGCGCAGTGACGACATTGGTTTAGCGGATCTGTCATAATACTTTTTCTGATGATTTTGTTGGTGAACTCGTCTGGAGCGAAACTCTCTACTATTAATCACTTTGGGCTGAAGCTGCTGATGACTTCTGGGTAAGGTTGAGCGTAAGCGACGACTCATTAAAAGCTGTGCTGGTGATCTGAAGCCATCAACTGGGGTGTTGCGATATTCGAGAAGACTCAGGCACAGATCTTTCTGATCGGCATTGGACTTTTCCATGAGCGATTTGGCAATCTGAACTGCCTTCTCAGCCAAACCGTTGCTTTGGGGATAATGCGGACTAGTGGTGATATGGCTGAACTCCCAGGTGTTTGCGAACGTTTCAAACTCGCTACATTTATACTGGGGGCCATTGTCCGATACGACAGTTTCAGGTATGCCATGTCTGGCAAATACCTCTTTCAATTTGTTTATCACAGCAGAGGATGTTGTGCTGTGCAGCTTGTCAAGCTCAAAATATCTGCTATAATAGTCCACTGTGACTACATAGTTGTCCCTATTCCAAGTGAACAGATCAGTTGCAATAGTTTGCCATGGCCTGTCCGGAATCTTGTGACTTATCATGGGCTCCTTCTTATTGGAAGCCCTGTGCTCAATACAGATGGGACAACGTTCAACCATCTCCTCGATCTGCCTATTCATCCCCGGCCAGAATAAAACATCTCTCGCTCTCTGCTTGCACTTTTCTATACCCATGTGGCCCACGTGTATCCTGGAAAGCATCTGTCGCCGTAGGGAGGTAGGAACAATGATTTTCTCACCCTTAAACAAGATGTCATTCATTTGAGTGAGCTCATCACGATGGTTCCAGAATTCAGCTATGGTCTGAGGGCATGATCTCCTTACTGCAGGCCAGCCCTCCTTGATTGTTTTCTTTAACACCATGAGCTGCAAGTCATTTTCAGTCTCTTTGCGGATGTTCTCTAATTTGGCATTACTGACGGGTAGGCTGCTGTATACTGTGTGTACCTGCATGTCCATTCCTTCTCGTAGGCTGTCATCCTGGTCAGTCAGCGACTTCCTAGAGAGGGTATCGGCAACAGGGACGTCTTTGCCTGGCTTGTGGATGATGGTAAAATCATACCTCTGAAGTTGTAGGATCATCCTTTGTAGTCTTGGAGGTGCTGCTGCAAGTGATTTTTTCATGATGGACTCCAATGGTTTGTGGTCACTTTCCACAATAACATGACGACCATAGACATACTGGTGGAAGCGCTTGCATCCAAATAAAATGGCATGCAGCTCTTTTTCTATCTGGGCGTAATTAATTGCACTGACAGATAGTGATTTCGAAGCATATCCAACTGGCTTGCCCTCTTGCAGTAGAACTGCACCTAAACCGTGCTTAGAGGCGTCAGCTTGTAGTCTAAGCTCTTTGGTCGGATCAAAGTATGTTAAAACTGGACCTGGTTCTCGAGTGATTAGCTCTTTCACCTCATTGAATGCTTTGTCGTGCTGTGCATCCCAGGTAAATTCATTCGACTCTTTTAACAGGTGACGCAGGGGTGCATTAATGCTTGCAAGCCTTGGGGCAAATTTCGACAAATAATTTATCATACCAAGGAAGGTTTCCAGCTCACCTTTGTCCTTGGGAGGTCCCATATCTCTTACAGCTGCAATTTTATTTGGATCTGGTTTTATTCTATCCTTGGTGATACGGTGACCGAAGTAACTGACTTCTGTGGCACAAATTGTGCTTTTTTCTGGGTTTAGCTTAACTCCCCGTTCTCTGGAGCGCTGTAGCATGGCATGAAGGTTCTTGTCATGCTCCTCTTTGCTTCCGCCATAAATTAGGATGTCATCAACTATTGCTGTTACCCCTTGTAGGCCTTCAAACGTTTCATTGACCTTCCGTTGAAACTCATCCTGGGCAGACTTCAAGCCAAACGGTAGGCGGAGAAACCGATATCTACCAAAAATAGTGTTGAATGTGGTTAGCTTGGATGATTCGTCTGTGAGCTTTATAGCCCAGTAGCCTGACCTGGCATCCATAACGCTGAAATAGCATGCTCCTGCCAGCTTGGACGTTATATCCTCAAGAGTGGGTAATGGGTAATATGGTCGTTTGATGACGTTGTTTAAGTCCTTGGGATCTAGACACAGTCTCAACTGACCTGTTTTTGGTTTTTCAACTGCCACCATTGAATTAACCCATTCAGTTGGTTCAGTGACCTTTGTGATAATATTCTGCTTTTCCATGCTCTGTAATTCTACTTTCAGGCGGTCGCGTAGAGCGACAGGAACACGCCTTGGCGGATGAACCACAGGTACTGCATTGCGGTCAATGTGAATAGTGCATTCACCTGGAAACAGTCCTATCCCTGTGAAGACGTCAGCAAATTCTTTGGTGATTTGTACCTCTGTTGTGCTGGCTATAGACAGTATGAGCTTAATGAGCCCAAAGTCTAAGCATGCCTTTAACCCTAGCACTGGAGGTGCATGTGTATCAACAACATGAATTTGTAACATTAATTGAATGTCCTTGTACTGGCATTCCACATTGCACTTGCCTCTAACAACCAATTGCTCACCTCCATAGCCATAGAGAGGTTTGGTTGAGGGCTGGAGTACATTCTGTATTCCCAATTTTGTGAAGATACATGTTGGGATGACATTTGCTGAGGATCCTGTATCTAATTTAAAGTTAACCGCATTTCTATTAGGTCCTACTTGAACATTTGTAAAAACCTGATCTGTATTTATATTGTGGCTTTGTGTTACGGTATCAATAAACAATTCCTCGTTGCCTGCATGTACACTTGATTCGATGTCGTTTACAGTGTGTACTATTTTTCCTTGCTTTGAGCGGCATACTTTTGCAAAATGGTTCCACTTGTTGCATTTCTTGCACTGTTTCCCGTGTGCTGGGCAGCTATTCTTCCCCTCGTGAGCTTTGCTTCCACAGTAGCTACATAATCTGGGGCGATCTCTGTTTTCCTCGGCTCTGTTGTCGGACTTTATCTTTGTCTTGTCCTGACGGATTTTCCAAGGTGCTGTTTTAAAGTAATGCCGGCTTGTTGCGTGAACAGAGTGCTCGTACCGGTTACTATTGCCACTAGACATAGTTTTAAGCTGCGTTTGCGCCATTTCGTGAGATCTAGCAATGTCTATTGCTTTATCCAGTGTTAAATCTGAACCGATGCTTAACAGTTTCTCTCTCACTCTGGGTGAATAAATTCCAAATACGACGCGGTCCCGTACCATTTCCTCACTGTTAGCATAATTACAATCTTTAACAAGGAGTCTTAAGTCTGTCACGAACTGTTCAAATGGCTCGCTAGCTCCTTGTAGTTTTTCATTAAATTTGTAACGCGCGAATATAACATTGGATTTTGGCGCGACGTATGCTTCAAAGCGATCGTAGTACGATTTCAGTACCTTTCTTTCATCCTCCGTAAGCGACCATGTGTCATAGATGTCCCGGCCTTTTTCTCCGACCCATAGGAGTAGGAAGCTGCATTTTTCATCCTCCCCTATCCTCTTGAACGGACCAGAAAACATTAATTTGACGTGGAGTCTGAACTTGCGCCATGCTTCGGGCAGGTTTCCAGCATCCCAGTCCATGCGGGGCAACGGAACACCAGCGACGTCCATTGTGTCCGTGTTATTCACTTTTCTTCTGACACCATGTTTTGTCTTGCTGCTTATTAAGTATTACGGCAAGATATAAGTGCAAGATCTTTATTGAAGGTCACGGAGGATGTCATGCACTACATACATACTGGTAGGTAGAACTATACCGACCGACTCTCAGTGAGTATGTATAAAACAGATCACGTGTACATTAACCAATCAACATAAGTTTCTAGCAAACGTGGACACACCATTTGAATAATCAATTATGTGTCTAACACATTATGCAATATATTCTGCACGAATATTACACCGCCCTGCTGCTTTGCCTTGGTTTGTCTTATACTTTTCATTTTGTCCACGGGTTTTATTTGATATCTGTGGTTTTTTTTATGTGTTCGGGTTATTTTATTAACGTATTTTGGGATAATTAAGGATTGTTTCTTTGTTTTGTTTGATGTATAAATTTATTGAGTTTGTTTGTGTTTGTTTGGATGTTTTCTTTCTGTTTTGATTTGGATTGTTTTCTGTGGTTCTTGTCTGGGTGGCCTTGTGGGCTGGGGGTGGCCGTATGCGCTGTGGGGTGGAAGCCTTGGGTATAAGAGGCCGCTCGGGTTTGTGCGTGATTCGGGTGGTGTGGGTTTTGTTTTAGGTTTGTGGTAATGCAGTGATCTGTTAGCGCTAGTGGCTGGGTAGTACCTTTGAACGTGTGGTTGTGTCCCCTTCTAGCGCATATTGCCTCCCTGCCTGGGGGATTTACGAGGAATCAAGACTCCGCAGCGTGTTTTATTTGTTTTGCGTTTATTTCTGTATTGAGGTGGTTTTACCTTTGCTGTGGTGTTAATAAAAGTGTGTATTTTTATCTGTTGTCCAAGTCACGTCTCTGCAACAGTTACTGATAGAACCAGTGGGTGGGGCGTGTACTGTACGTGTCGGTATATCCTTGGGTGGGAGGCCCAGGGTGGCGTAGTCGGACTAGTGGTCTTCCTGTCACACTTGGTTAATTTCTCTTTAAATCATTACCAAATGCTCACATGTCAAAAAATATTGTAATTTTATGTTGTTTAAGGCCAAAAACTTAAAATGCAGATCTTTATAGATATTAAGCACACTTTCTATGGATATGAGGCTTCTGTTTTAAGAGCCATTTGCAAAATATGTTTTACATTTTATGAATACATAAAATTTTATTAAGTTTAACTTTGAACAACGTTTATCATTTAACATACTTTTGCATAATTTACAGGTATGCCATGCGATTTTAATCCGATACACTTTTTGTCAAATTCTCTGCCCAGGTATCTGTTGTGTGTGTGAACTGGAATTTTTTTTTAAAAACTGTGTTTCAACTGTGTTTTCCCCAGGTCTGTAAACGGGGAAAAAAAAAAAGTGGCTCAGACCAAGTTACACAACTCAATTCCACTCCCTCGCTTCAGGTATCCCTCTGAAGCCACTCTTCCTTCTCCTTTCCACTTCCCCAGTCTACCCTCTTCCATCTCCCCTGCTCTTCCAGTGCATGAGCATGAATGCTCCCTATTGTTGATTGGTTAGAACAATGTTCTGTGGCTCAGTCCGAGCCGCTTTGTTTTTTCCTAATTACGGAGCTGAACCTGCATAGAAACAGCAAGTTATTTTTCAGTGCACATAGAACGGTCAGCTAGGGAGTGTGAGCATCAGTTGGCTGAATTTGTCAAGAAGTAAATTGGATTAAAATTGTATAACCTACCTTTAATTAACATACAGGTAGGCCTATCCCCTGCTTTACGAATATTCACTTTAGCCCACTTTGCTTATACAAAAGACCTAAATTAGCATCTGTTTTCGCTAACCAAAAGAAAGCCAAAGAGGATTTTCGCATTTGCCATTTTGTATTTATGCATGTTATAGCCGTCATAATGCCATAGTGCAATGCTTTCCTTACGTGTTTTGGTGATACTGGTATTAATAAACCTACTGTGCTGCCAGTTGAATAAAAGTATACCACATACAATTATGTACAGTACATGATACTGGATAATGACAACTTACTTACTGGTTTATGTATTTACTATACGTTACTTAGGCTAAACCCTGTAGCCTGGGTGTGTAGTAGGTTATGCCATCTATGATGTTCTCACAACAGCAAAATTGCCTAACGAGGCATTTCTTAGAAGGTATCCCTGTTGTTAAGCGATGTATGACCATTGAGTCTGATAAGTGAAACTACACTACATACATTACTTCTACTTTAGCATATCATTCCTGCCTTTGTTATATGGTAGTGTTATTTTAAGTTTTATGTGCTATTTGGTATGATATAGTAGGTTTTTTTTGGTCTGGGAATTTTTTTTTTTCCATATAAATTTATTGTAATAGCTTCTTTATGCCATTTCGGCATATGATTATGAGAAAGACCTTGGTGTGTATGTTGATTCTTCCATGTCTCATTCTCGCCAGTGCGGGGAAGCAATAAA